AGATGGTTTTTCAGGTTATTTCCAGATTTGCATAGCTCCAGAGGACCAAGAGAACACAACATTCACATGTCCATTTGGCACATTTGCTTATAGGAGGATGCCATTTGGATTATGCAATGCCCCAGCCACATTCCAGAGATGCATGATGAGTATTTTTGCAGATTTTCTAGACTATTGCATAGAGGTTTTTATGGATGATTTTACTGTATATGGAGATTCATTTGATGAGTGTCTAGTAAATTTAGATAAAGTACTTGAGCGATGTATTGAGAAAAATCTTGTATTAAACTTTGAAAAGTGTCATTTCATAGTTAGACAAGGTATTGTATTAGGTCATGTTGTTTCTGAGAGGGGGATAGAAGTTGATAAGGCTAAGGTAGATGTGATTACTTCTTTACCTTATCCTACTAGTGTTAGAGAGGTCCGTTCTTTCCTTGGACATGCAGGATTTTACAGGAGGTTTATACAGGATTTTAGCAAGATAGCCTTACCACTCTCAAGATTGCTGCAGAAAGATGTGGATTTTTCATTCTCTTTCCTTTGTTTCAAGACTCTTGTAAAATTCTTCAAAAGCTTTAGAACAAGCTTCACTTACAATACACAAAATATTAGCAGCACAATGCACAAAAAAATTATATTCACACCTTTTTTTAACATACTCCCTTTAGTCTTTATTTATAATGCAAAGAGATAATAATGTTTTTGGTCTTATTTATAAGTCATGTCATTAAATTTTCATCACAAATCTCCTCTTGTACCCACCATTGAATGTTGGAGAGAAAAAATATGTTATTAAAGCATGTATGTTTAATAGGGATAAATTTAAAAAATTATTAAATTTTAAGACAAAGTTAATGAATTTTAAGGTTTTTCTTAATATTGGCAAAAGATGTTGAAAGTGATTTATAAATAGGATCAGAGGAGTATTTTTTTTAAATTAATAATTATTTTTACACCTTAACTTTATCTTAAAAATTTATTAGCCCTAGTTTTGTTGATCTAGCTTTTTCTTAATGTTTTTTTAATAATAAAATATAATAGTAGGATCTATTTTGTATTTTATTTTTACACCTCACTATCCACCTCCTCCCCGCTCTCTCCTCTTTCCCTCTCTAAGCTCTATTCCCCGATGCTATTACTGATGGTGTTTATTTCCACGATGGAGGCTCACCTCAATCCAAGCACCTCATTGGCCTCGACGCTGATGAACGACGAATAGAACTTCATCACCAAGTCCACCACCACCTTATGCTGCAACAATTACGTCGATGAGCTACATGGTGTGGGGGGTGTGTTTTTATAATCAAATATTATTATCAAATGTGCTAATCACTGAGGAAATACTTAAGGATGGGGCAAGAAGAAATGGTAGATCCAAGTCCATAGGTAAGGATCAAGAAAATGATATTGGGAAGAGAAAGGGGCCTTAAGATGGAAGCACATCTAAAAAAAGAACTGAGCAAAGGCAAGATGAGAATGCGTATTGAGATCGAGATTTTGAGTATTATGTGAAGACGATCAGATGGCTTGAGTGTGAAGGACACATAAAAAAGAACTTCAAACACAAATTGTTGACTTGGTATAGCTTAAGCAACACGACAAGGAGTTCGAGACCTCAAGAGGAAATTATGGGGTGTGTGTGCGCCTTCTGAATACAAATATCTCAGACATCTTTTAACATATATTCAAAAATCACGATCAACATGCTGACAATATATTATTTGTCATTTTAGACATTGACTCAATGCAATAGTGCTAATCTCAGTGGCTTTCGATTAAACTTAAACCTTTTGTTGCTTTTTGTACATATTTCTCTTTCTCATGAAAAGATCACCAAAGCTTTACGTAATAGTAAATGACAATAAATAGAAGATGATGACTATATACATATCGGCCTTGTTCTCTCTAACGTGTCCATGGCTGTTGTCGACCTCATCGAAGTTAGTGCAAGGAAGCCTTCCTCACAATTCTGTTTATCTCAATTTTTTGAATAAAAAATAGGGGTGGAAGGAGGAGAGGAGGGAGGGAGGGAGATGGAGGAGAGAGAGAGAAGGAGATAGAGATAGAGCCAGGTCATCTTCTTCTCTGCCCCGACAGCATGGTGGAGTGTAATCTGAGAGAATGGCTCAAAAACTTGAAGGAACACTAATACAAAAATAACTTTTATTAACAGTTAAAAATGACTTTTCACAACGGTTAAAGAGATGATATTGTTTCAGGAAATGTAGAATATCCCATCTTTCTATATCAATTATACACCCGATATAAAAACTAAATTTTTATATCAGTTATAAAGTCAATGTTGAAAATTATATAAAAAAATTACCTGAAACTTTTTACATCAATTGGAAGCTCAACCGATGTAAAATACTAACTTTTTACATCGGTTAGGCTTCCAACTGATGTAAAAAGTCATTATTTTACATTGGTTCGAAGCCCAACTAATGTAAAAACTCACCATTTTACATTGGTCGGGCTTCTAACCAATGTAAAATCTTGAGCTTTTACATCATTTGAAATCTCAGTCAATGTAAAAAGTTATTATTTTGCATCAGTTATTACTATAATCGATGTAAAAAAATTATATTCTGCAGCGGTTGTGGTAATAATCGATATAAAAGTATTTAATTTTTGTATACTATATTTATTTTATCAATTTTACTCATTCATGTGCATAAAAATTACCAAAGCCAAATCAAACAACTCAATTCATTTACAATTGTCTATCAAGTATTTATCAACTATATAAAACTATTTAATTATTAAAAAACTAACAATTGTTTAAATTGTGTCAACTATCAAAATTAAAACTTGTCTGAAACTAACAAACTGAATAAATTGTATGAAATATTTTATAAACCTCACAAATTCATGAATTGTATGAAATGTGTCCATGGCCGTCACCGGCCTTATTGAAGCCAGTGCAAGGAAGCCTTCCTCACGACTCTATTTATCTTGATTTTTTGAATAAAAAATAAGGGTGAAAGGAGGAGGAGAGGGAGGGAGAGAGATGGAGGAGAGAGAGAGAGAAGGAGATAGAGGCAGAGGCAAGTCATCTTCTCCTCTAGCCTGGCAGCGTAATGGAGTACAATTTGAGAGAACGGCTCAGAAGCCTAAGGGAAGATTGAGCTTTAAAGATGGAGACTAAGAAGCGATTGGACTTGCCATTTGCCAACAACGACGAGTAACTTCTTTAGCTAGTTTGGGGTTCATTTCATTGTTATTATTGAAAGAAACAACAGAGATTTTCTCCTTAGTGTGTGGCTGACACTTGTTGCACAATGCACATAGCTAGACATACAATGGTGTTAATTCTGCATACATAACAAACATAGTTAGATGAGATATTAAGACTTCCAGTTCACCAAGAGTTATTCAGAGTTCGAAAGCTTGGACAAGAAGAGCATCAAGCTTTGAGCTTTCATGGGGGGAGAGTTGGACAAGGAGAGAGAGGGGAGAGGGAGGGTGGTGAAGAGGAAGGGTAGATGATAAGAGTGATGGGTCTACTTTCCATGCTTCCTTGACATGAGATCTGTACCAGATTTAAAATATTATTATATACTCCTTCCGTCCTAAATTACAAGGCATTTTTAAAGAAATTTTTTATTTCAGAATATAAGACATTTTGAGTAGATTAGAGTTTTATTAAATGTATCAATTCCAATTTTATCCCTTTCACTCTCTATAATTAATTCACATCCCTTCTCTTTTCAATATATTAAATGATGGATATTTTTAAAAATTTATATTTTTGTTTTAGAAAGATAAAGTTGTTAAGTGTATTTAATGAGATTTATTGGGTAAGATTTTGTTTAAAAGTGTCTTATAATTTGGGATGGATAGAGTATTATATTTATTAAAATAATTTTTAAAAAAATTATAAATAATTTTAATAATTTTTTTATTTTTAATATAATTTAAAATTAAAGAATCTAATTTAATATTAAAATTTTTATAATTAATATATATTAATTATTTAGATATATTGTGCACAATACTGTGTGGTCCTCATCCAAAAAAACCAATGCCATGATAAGACGAGGTGGAATAAGAAAAATTGGAGAAAGACGTGTGATCAATTTTTATAATATTTTATTAGAAAAGATATTTCCTCTTATCTCCATTTCATACATTACTTCCTTTTATATCATATATATATATATATATATATTTACTTTAAATAATAATGTAATTATATTAAATATTTTAACATTAAATAAAAAATAAAATTTAAAAATTAATTTAATTATTACAAATTATCTAATTTTTTAAATAAAAAGTTATTTTTAAAAAATGTCCCATGAATAGGGCCAAAGTTTTAAAAAAAAGCCAAATCAACAAATTGCTTCACTCAAAGACAATAATTAAAAAAATGATCAAACTGAAAGGTCCAATGGGTGAAACCATTGACCGATTTAGATTTCAGCTCAATTAACATTAAAAAATCATTTGAGGGTTGAGCAGCTTTGGATTAGCAATCAAGTTGAGAACTAGGATCAAGTTGGGAATTGAATTTGATTTTCAAAAATTAGACTATTAAAAAAATACTCTCTTTTTTTCATTTTTTATCAATTTTTCTATGAAGTGACTAGTTTTTTAAATCAATTGATGTTATACTGTATCATCACTTGTTAAGTCATGATAAATTTAAAATATTTAGTTTTATTTTTATGTTAAGTAATAATTTTATATTTATTTCTTATACTTAAATTATTATATATATAATTTTTTAATTTAATTATTAGGGTGCTGATTTGACCATTGATCAAGCTCAATTGAACCATACAAACTATAAATCATTGACATTTTTGATTCAATATTCAGTTCAATGGTTGACTTCTGGAAACATTGTTAACAGGTTTTTCACATTTAGGTGGCACGGGAATTTGAATTTTAAACATTAAGAAATAGAATTAAGTTACAATTGACTTTAAGATATTTAGTGACTTTGTTTTAAGGACGAAAGGCAAAAATCACACTTAATCCTTTTTTTCTATTATACAAAAATGGAACCCATAATTTTATTCATGGTCGTGGGAGATCTTCTCGTCGCCACCATGGTTGACACGTTCTTTTCTTTCTAACGGTATCAGGCAAAAAAGAACTTGGCATGGATTGAAAGTTCCCTTCTTTTTAGCATAGCATCTCGCCTTCAAGACTGTGGTTCATTGCCATGTCTATGATGTTGTTGGGAACGAGTCTTTTTCCTTGTTTCACGCCTTTCTCCTTCTTTTGTTCACTCTCGCTTCATGTCTACGAGATCTTCTTCCCCCCACTTCCTCATTCTTCATCAATCACCATCATCTTCCTCCTCTGCAATATTCGTCTCTTCGTCATCACATAGTCCACCATGATCGGTTCTCTTGACGCAACCAAACCCAACAACAACAATGTGGGTTCCGTTCCCGCCAACGGCTCTGCTACCATCCAAGAAGCTCCCTCTCCTCCTGTTTCAGTAGCCTCCGATGCCACTCTAGGTCGCTTCATTGCTCGTCGCCTCGTCCAAATCGGCGTTAGTGATGTGTTCTCCGTGCCCGGTGACTTCAATCTCACGCTTCTCGATCACCTTATTGCTGAACCGGGGCTCACCAACATTGGATGCTGCAACGAGCTCAATGCTGGGTATGCTGCCGATGGGTATGCCAGGTCTCGTGGGGTCGGAGCTTGTGTCGTGACCTTCACTGTGGGTGGGCTTAGCGTGTTGAACGCCATCGCCGGGGCTTACAGTGAGAACCTTCCAGTCATATGCATTGTTGGGGGTCCGAATACCAATGATTATGGAGTTAATAGAATTCTCCATCACACTATCGGATTGCCTGATTTCAGCCAAGAACTCAGATGCTTCCAAACTGTGACATGCTTTCAGGTAAATTGCTAATTTATTTTTGTTTGCACCTTGCTATTTCATTAGTTGTCACTGAGACCAACTGTGTTACTTGTTGTCACATAATTAAGTATTGGATCATAATTTGAAGGAATGCGTGCTGCTGATTGTACACTAATGATCACCTCATCACAAAAAGCTTCATGGGATACATTTAAACTCAATAGAGTTGTTTCTCAATAAAATAACATGATTGCGAACAAATATCTTTAATAACACAGTTTTGGAGACAGAATTCTTATCTTGATACTGAAGCATTTTCTTGTGATATATTAGAGATTGATCTATTGTGATTTTCTAGATGAAATTCATTTTTCCCTATACTGGTTGATAACTATATTTCTACTTGAAATGGAGATGAAGTTTTCAGACCAGTGAATTTCCATAAAATAAAACATGTAAAGCTTGCATTGAAATCTTTTGATGTATTTCTATTTCCTCTTCCTCTGATATTGCTTTTTCCAAACTGGAGCAACATGATTTGCCTGTACCCTTCCACCTTAATTTTATTTCTTCAATGAACAACCAAATTTTTAGGTCTTTTGAATGTGGTGTATTGAATTCTTGATTGCAAAAGCCTTCCAGGTTAATTCTTACAATGTGGTTTGAAACACTGTTTTCAGGCTGTGGTGAACAATTTGGAAGATGCTCATGAACTGATTGATAGAGCAATTTCTACCGCTTTAAGAGAAAGCAAGCCTGTCTACATTAGCGTTAGCTGTAACTTGCCTGGAATCCCACATCCAACTTTTAGCAGAGAACCTATTCCATTTGCTCTGTCTCCCAGGTAAGTTCCTTCTTTGCTCTTCTCTTGAGGAACTCAAGTCTTTAGAAGAAATAATGCAAAAGGCACTAAGGTTTCATTCATATGCAAATACAGATCGAGCAACAAGATGGGGCTTGATGCAGCTGTTGATGCAGCAGCAGCATTCCTGAACAAAATGGTGAAGCCAGTCATTGTGGGAGGGCCAAAACTCCGAGTGGCAAAAGCGTGTGAGGCCTTTGTTCAATTGGCTGATGCTTGTGGCTATCCAATTGCTTCAATGCCATCAGCAAAAGGACTAGTTCCAGAGACCCATCCTCACTTCATAGGGACTTACTGGGGAGCTGTGAGCACTGCCTTTTGTGCTGAGATAGTTGAATCAGCTGATGCGTACTTATTTGTTGGACCAATCTTCAATGACTACAGCTCTGTAGGATACTCTCTACTTCTTAAGAAGGAGAAGGCAGTCATTGTACAACCTGATCGTGTTGTAGTCTCTAATGGCCCTGCTTTTGGTTGTGTACTGATGAAGGACTTTCTCGAGGCATTAGCGAAAAAGTTGAACAAGAACGAGACCGCTTATGAAAACTACACCAGAATCTATGTCCCAGATGGGCAACCTCCCAAATCTGAACCTACTGAGCCCCTACGAGTTAATATTCTTTTCCAGCACATCCAGAAGATGCTTTCTGCTGACACTGCCGTGATTGCTGAGACTGGAGATTCCTGGTTTAATTGTCAGAAACTGAAATTACCAAAAGGATGTGGGTAAGTAAGCCTTGAGTGTTCATGCATGCATGGGCTTTTATTGAATTAGTTGAGTGTAATAGAAAAGGAAAATAAGTTGGTATTGCAGGTATGAATTCCAGATGCAGTATGGCTCAATTGGGTGGTCTGTTGGGGCAACACTAGGATATGCACAAGCTGTACCTAACAAACGTGTGATTTCTTGCATTGGTGATGGGAGTTTTCAGGTCATTGTTCTCACCTCTAAGGCTGAAAATTAGAGATTGGAAGCAATTTTGCGATATTGATTACCCTAATGCTAAATAATCTCTATGCAGTCCAACTCGGAGGTTAAAAATGAAAAAGTTGGAGCTTTAATTTTGTTATATAAGCTTCTGTGATTGTCACTGTCAAGTGACCATTTTCTTGATTGTTTCCAAGGCTCTTATAAGGATTTTGACCGGCAGGTGACTGCACAAGATGTATCAACAATGATACGGAATAATCAAAAGCCCATCATCTTTCTAATAAACAATGGCGGATACACTATAGAAGTTGAAATCCATGATGGCCCTTATAATGTGATCAAGAACTGGAATTATACAGGCTTAGTGGATGCAATCCACAATGGTGAAGGAAATTGCTGGACACAAAAGGTTAATTTGCTACAAGGGTTCAGTGTTTTAAATTGAATGGTAAATTTGAAGTCACTATTAAGAAAAGTGAATGAATATATGGTTTTGTAACAGGCCAGGAATGAACAGGAGCTGATCGGAGCAATTGAAACAGCGATGGGTGATAAGAAAGATTGCTTGTGCTTCATTGAAGTTATTGTTCACAAGGATGATACCAGTAAAGAACTTCTTGAGTGGGGCTCAAGGGTGTGTGCCGCAAATAGCCGCCCTCCAAATCCTCAATAGAGAAAAAACCATATAGTCAGAGGCAGAACAAGCAATAGCATGCTTCTGGCTTTTGCAGTTCCACAGAACAAGTTTTTGTTATGACAGGCCCACCAAAAAGTTGAGCACTTGAGTCTTATATTCACCAAATTTTTAGTTAGCTGAGTATTTTTGCAATTTTTGTTTCTCAACATAAAAATATGGAGTTTTGTGCTCCTAGATATGTCTACAATTTAAAAATGCAGCCTGTTTGCCTTGAGCCTTTCTCTTCAAACAAATTTGTATTCTCACGATCTATTAAGTCTTTCAAGGCCAAAAAATAATTGTATTGGGGATCCCCACCTAAATGGGTCAATATGCTAAGGATCCCCAGATGGACGTCACATGCAGAAGTCACATGGTAGGCTGAAAGCTCGACGTGTGTGATAGCTGCTTGGCTAGCAATATCCTGTCATAGAATTTAACGTTAGTTAAAAAAAAAATAGATACGGCAATGATAAAACGAAACTTTCTCTTTTTTTCAATGGAAATAAGATCTATTAATAATCAACAACAAAACTGTACAAGAAACCAAAAACCGGGTCACCACATTTCGCAATCTACCCTCCCTCATGATGGGGTGGGTTGGTAGTAAAAAAGTGCCAAAAGAATTAGAGCTAAGTAATCCTAATCTAAAGACATCATTGACAAGAGGAATATGGAGATTACAAGAAAAATTCAAAGAAACATGCTAGTATGAGTATCTAAAAAGAAACTGTCTAATTTCCAAAATAATACCTTGCAGTGGATAATCACACGAATACTCCCTACTAATGAGATTATAACTGTCTGCATAAGAAAGATCAATCTTAACCCTTCTATAAATTTCATTCGAAAACCTGTAGAGTCCTTCATAAACCGTTCTCAGAATAGTTACTTTGAGAACAGCAGCGCAAAATTTTAATCTGTCTGCAATTTTTTGTTCAGCTACTTTTAATCTCACACAGTCATCTTCGCAAGCATAATTACTATCTTTGGCTAACAATTCCCATCATAAAGAGAAAGAAGAACAAAGCACTTTTCTATTCTGTACAGCTCTAAATAAGACGGTTCTAGGTTTACTCCTTCGATTACTCTCTCCCTTACCAAACATGAAGTTACATCTTGACGTCTAGATATTCTAGCAAGCGTCCTCCAGTGCACCTGTGTTTGAAGATTACCCAAATTTGAACTCAAATTCCAGCTAAGCTTCGTGCAAAAAAATAAATAAATTGATAAGTGAAAGTCTAACAGTAGTGTTGCAAGTATCTGACCAGCAAATCGCCATCATCCATCCACAAAAGAACTACACCGCTGCTCCAACCGCACAATAAATGCCCATAACTGTACATTGATAATCTCGAATTTTCCATGAGGCTCAGATGGCTTCCCTGCTTTTTAGGTCATGCTGTCCCTATTTCTGGAAGTTTATTTGATTATTTTATCTTTAAATATAACAAAGTGTTATGATATTTTTAATTAATTAAATAACTTTATTGTTATTTTAAAAAAATAGAAATATTAATTGCATATTTTATTTATCACCGTCATAATATTAACTGATAATATTAAGGATCAAATTGAAAAATTTTTATAATTTAATGTGATTTTAATTAAATAATAAATTTTTATTAATATGTAAAATTTAATTAAAAATATTTTACGTTTTTACAGAGGATATTAGTTTAAAAAAACAGGATTCCTAATCACTCCAGGACTTTTTTTCAATAAAGTATCCCTGCAACCCTTCTTTTCTGATTTGGCTACATTGAAAAGAAAAAAAGAAAAATAAAGGATAGATTTGCAACCGACTTCCTTCAAGACCCAAAAAAAAAAAACTAACATCGCCGCCTCACACGTTAATTTTGAAAGCATGTGCACAGCCTATGACACTTTAAAGCACAATCCTGATAGAGAAAGGAGGAATTCATACAAGTACAATTGTTGAGATGAATACCACTATCTAGTACTAAGACATAGGGTATGAACACTTGCTTGAGTAAAGCTCCAGCTGGGTACCTCAACGTGCAATGCTCTAATGCTCTATGCTACCGACGCTATGTCTCTTCCTGCAGGTTCTCTCTCTCTTTTTCCTTCTTCTTTTGTTTCTTTTTCATTATTTATTACGGGTGATACGAAGGGAATATCTTTGCCAAAAGTAGCACCGGAAGCCAATTAGCAGACCAAGAGTTGCATTTAGAACAGGCGGATTTAATCAAGAAAACAGTGAAGAAAAATAAAAGGGTGACAGCTTCACTGATCAATGAGTCCTTTCTAGTTTCTAAGCTAGGAAAAATTAACACGTACTAAATATAATAATAACAAACATCACGATGTAGTAAAATTTAAGATATTAATGTGAAAGGTTTTTTCAGGTTTAATATATAATACGAGTGCCTTGCATGTTCTTAAATGAGTTGCGAAGCTTAGGCTCAACCCAACCACCACTCAACCAATATCTCCACCTGTATTCTTGATCACTCTCTTATACCTGTCTTTGCAGTGATCGCATGCCTATACTAAGTCTTTGCTGAGCTGAGTAACAATCGTTACTTTTTTTGGGTTTCTGAAGGGGAAGGATTTGAAGCCTGTGCAAAAGAGTAAGAAGGAAAAAAGGGGTGAAAATGAAAGAAACATCATGCATTGAAAAAAAAAAATATGGAATTTTCAAAGTGAACTCATCTGGTGTGCTGTTGTAATCATCACCTTTACTTTTTTTTTTTTTTTTTGTGTTAAAACTTCACCCTCCGGACTCCTGAGCCCCACTACGGTAACATTTCCTACCTTCCTTTGTCCTTTCCCTCTCGTTGCTTCGCAAGCAAAAAGAAGAAAAAACGCCACCCCTGGAAGAAGGACGGTGATTTTTTCAAAAGTTGAAACGCGACCATCACAATGAAACCTAGAATGACCCAGATTCCCAACTCTCCCCATTTCAAAGGATGCACTTGGACAACCCTGATTTGCAAAGAATATAGTTCCTTGCAAGGAGGTTAGAATTTTGTTATCAGTTCGGTACGAACTTCTGCTTTTGCCACGATTCAAACATGTAAGTTAAAAAGATGACTCCAACCCCGGGTATTTAACATATTGCAGACTAATGATGTGCGAGTTATCAAACATCATTAGTCTTTTTTCCATTAATTCTCAAGAGGAAAGAAATTGCAGAACATTGAGAAATAATTATGAAGCAATGTAAATTTGACCAATGAATTTAAGGCTGCACCTAACTCGGCACTCTAAGGACAGCCATCACATAGTAGTAACTGACCGGAAGTCCAAGTAATCTCTCATCTAGAAAACAAAAAAGATTCACTACAAAGGCATCATAATGAATCATGAATTCTCATGGCAAAATGAAAAAAATGGAAATTATGAAATGTCCAAAGCACCCTTATCAATGCCAACGAACTAGCCATGTCCAAAAGGTCATTGCGACCATCTTCCAGGGGCAATGCTGCAGGGAACACCTTTGAATGTACCAACCTTCCTTCAAAAGAAAGACGAAATATAAAAGGAGTAAAGATCAATTCCAGAGCTACGTTCAGTCCAAAAAAAAAATGACTAAGGAAGAGACTGAATCTCAGATGAAGAAAAACCTTGAAGCTCAAATGGCGAGGAATGAGATGCTGGAGAAGGAAAACCAAGAACTCAGACAAGAAGTGAATCGTTTGAAGACACAGATAGCTTCACTCAAAGCACACAACATCGAGAGAAAGAGCATACTCTGGAAGAAGATACAGAACTCCATGGATGGCAATAATAATTCGGATGCGAGTCATGAGAATGAGATTTTGCCTACGAAGCATCCAGATTTGTCGGAATCAGCACCCAAAAAGGAATTTAGAGCAGTAAAAGTGCCCGTTCCTCCTCCAAAGCCAGCTTCTACCACTCTCACTTCCAGCAAGGATGAGAAGGTGATGAACGGGTCGGCGATAATGGCACCGCCGCCCCCTCCGGCACCACCAAAATCGTTGCTTGGCTTGAAAGCGGTGCGTCGCGTGCCGGAAGTGATTGAATTGTATCGTTCCCTGACAAGAAAGGACGCAAATATGGAGAACAGGGGAAATCCCAATGGCGTCATGGCAGTTGCGTTTACCAGAAACATGATTGAGGAAATTGAAAACCGCTCAACTTTTCTCTCAGCAGTAAGTTACATCCACACTAGTTGTGTCGAAATAGAGTTTATTGGATAGGATTAGCATCTCACATTCGGTTTTACACGTATATATTTGCGTTCGTACTTTTTATCATATGTATATGCATCGACAAACGTGAGAAGCTTTTCATTGATAGAAAGTACAATGATGGACAGATAAAATCAGATGTTCAGAAGCAAGGAGAATTCGTCAATTTCTTGATAAAAGAAGTAGAGTCAGCGTCATTCGCGGGCATTAGCGAGGTAGAGAGGTTTGTGAAGTGGCTGGACGGAGAATTATCATCGTTGGTGGACGAACGATCGGTGTTGAAGCATTTTCCCCAGTGGCCAGAGAAGAAAGCAGACGCACTTCGGGAAGCTGCTTGTAGCTACCGAGATCTGAAAAGCCTGGCATCAGAGGTATCGTCGTTCGAGGACAATCCAAGAGAGGCGGTGGGGCAGGCGTTGAAGAGGATGCAAGCACTGCAAGACAGGCGAGCAAGTACAGAATTAATTAGAATGTTAAGCAGAATTGGTAAGCGTGTGTGAAATGCGGGAGATTAATCGCCAGATTTGCTTGTGATTGTGAATGCGCAGATTGGAGAGAAGCGTGAGCAGTGTGGAGAGGACGAGGGAGAGTACTTGTAAGCGGTACAGAAATTTTCACATTCCTTGGGAATGGATGTTGGACACAGGCCTTATCGGTCAGGTATGTGTGTGTCCCTCTGCTTCATTGTTTAACACTGCAAACAATTGTTAAAACATAGCCCAATCACACCAGAGTTAGCATAACTCTGCTGTATTTTCTTTTCAAGCGTGATATAACGATAGGTTGTCGATGTGAATATCAAAGATAGCCTCTTTTTTTTTTTTAACAAAATAATATCAAAGTTAGATTTAATAATTAACACACACACATAATAAAGAAAAAAAACCTATGGCTTATGTTTTGAGATTTTAAAATTAAGACTGTCGTCTCATTACTCTTGGCCTGTTTCTCTCCTATCCTCATCTCATTTATCTGTGATATTCCATTCCTAACCATTACTCATTTTGTTGATGCATTTTGGAAACATAGGAACGTAAATCATTACTCATGCTTCACTCATTTTCATATGATTGTATGATAATTGATGTGAGATTTAATTATATGATTGAATATTATTTTATTATATACTCCATCTCGTAAAAAAATAAGTCATTTTTAATAAAATCTCACCTTTATAAAATAATTATTTATTTTTAAACTAATATTATTTTTTTATATATATACCCCTATTTAAGAGGGTGTTTTTCTCTAAAATAAATATAAAGTAATTTATTTATTAGGAATACTATTAAAAAAAGATAATACTTATATCTTGAAATATTAAAAATACTTTATATTTTTTAATAGAACGAGTAAATAATATGATATAGTTAGAAAATTCAAAATTTTTCATATAATCAAGTGCATGACACCTTGTATACCTTTTGATTCTTATATTTTATTCATATTTTGCTATAAGTTTTTGTATTTTTTTTTTTTTGTGTTTTGGGTCTTTATACTTTCATTCTTTAGTATTCTAGATTTTTTAATGAACAAAGTGTAGGGACTTTGAACAAATATAAAATATCAAAAAAAAAGTGCAGGAACTCAAAGCACAAAAAAAAAAGTATAGGGACCCATAATAAAATATGAGTAAAGACCAAAAGATATGTTTTTTCAAAGTTCAACCACTGCCACATGGAAAACCTTTTACTAAGCTATGATTATGGGATGACTAACATCTTAAACAACTTGTATGTAATTAAATTTAGATATGAGTCTTCCTTTTCTTAAATTCTCCAAGCAAAACATTATAAATTTATAAGCTTTTTTTTTGCCAATATAAGCTTTTAATTAAAATATAGCAAATGTGTAATGTAATATTATTTAAGTGTATAATTACGTAGTATTATAGTATTATTCAAAAACCATCTATTTACGATATTTTGATTAGAAATAATCTGATAGTAAAAATACATCAAAAGATATGTAAACTTTGTCCTCTTTTTTGTACGGTTATTGGTCATATATCTAGTTGACGTTCCAAAATGTATCTTCCATGACTTTTTGTTTGTTTGTCATGAAAGATAACATTGCCCAACATGCTTATGACAAGTGAGATATACACTTCAATTATATCTCAAGAGACTTGAATTTTAATTTGGACCCATGTAAATTTGTCTTGTACCATCCATGTCCATATCAGACTTGATGATTCTAAACTTGGATTAAAAGGCAGGCTTGTAATAGAAAAAACAGCCACAGTTGACAAAGTGATGCAGATTTAATGTAGCCCAAATGTACAGGAAAATCATCATTTCAATGAGATGTACCTTTCTTCTTCTTTTTTTCTTTTGGCAACAATGACATGCATTTCTTGTGTACGTTTTAATTTTTCAAGAATATAAATAATGTCCTCTTAATCAGGTCGGAGGGAGGGGAAACAAGTAGAAGCCACAGCTCTTCAAGTTTTTGAAATTTTGCTTAGTAATATATAAATATATATACTTTTGACCTTCCTAGATTTATAAAAATTTGATAGTATATATGATTTTTAATCTCAACCTTCTTATGGCTATAAATCTTGAGTTCATCTCTATTCTTAACACCAATCAAAACCACAAAAATGGGAAATTTAAAATAAGAAATTGAACATGAATTATATATATTGAGTGGTAATGCAGATGAAGGTGAGCTCATTGAGGGTGGCAAAGGAATGCATGAAACGGGTGACAAAGGAATTGGTGTATAGCGAAGCCTTGCAGGAAGACAACCTGCTGCTTCAAGGGGTCAAGTTTGCCTTCAGAGTGCATCAGGTAGGCCCCACCCTAAGCTTAATTTTCCTTTAAACGAAGTCTACGGGAAAAAAAAAAAATTGTTAAGAGAAAGTTAGTCATCAGATTTGATCACGTTTATATCCTACTTGTTAGTACTCAATACTAAATGATTAAGAAAATAGTTTCTATACATTAGTCTCTTAAGGGATTTTAGCCGCTTTTTCACTTATTTCAATAGAAAAGAAAAAAGCATTTTTCTTTTTGAAATGAAGTTTAGGCCCAAATTCTCGCCCATGTAACTTGGTTTCAGTTTTGCTTTGGCCTCTTGAGACCAGGGTCGCTCTCTTTTTTTTCTTCTCTTTTCCTCCACTTCCCCTATTCCCATCATTCAAATTTTTTTATTAAATAATTTTTTTAAATAAAAAAAATTAATAAATAATGGGGATAAGAGAAATGAAGAGAAATAAAAAAAAAGTGAAGAGACCCTACTTCCGAGCCTCTTAGGGTGAAAAATCCTTGATAGAGGAGACCCCTTTCGTGCTTTGGCAAAATTACTTAATAAGCAAGTACCTTTATCAATATTATAATATTATGTCTGATAGAAGTACTCGTGGCATAGGGGAAAAAAATAGAAGTACTTTTTATGATAAAGTTAACTAAAAGGACATGTATTAGGATCTAAGAGGAAAGTAAAAAAAAAAAAAATTATGGCGATTAATAATCTCCAGGTGGGGGGAATTTTTGTCTCAAATCTTTTTTGCATATATTTCGAGTGCGTTTGAAATCGTGTTAGGGTAGAGTTAAAATCATGTTTTGGTACAAGCAACCTCTAAGTTATTTATACCAAAACCATATTCTGACCTTGCCAACATGAATTCAAACATGCACTTGTCTTATGATAATGTTGTCATGTTTTAGTACTTGTGAAGGAATGAATTCAAAGTCAAAAAGCTTAGCAATATAGTAAATGGAGTTTGTCTTTTCAAGTGTCGTCCAACTAACGAGTCACCAGATGAATCAGTTTGCAGGTGGGTTTGATGCAGAGGCGACACAAGTATTTCGGGAACTGAAGAAGATTGCAACCGCTAGTAATACCAAATTATAGCAAACACCTTATCCAATAGCCCGCGCTTGTTTGCGTGTCTTGAATTCTCCTCTCACAAATACTGTTTGATGCTCACCCATCATCACCAAAACTTGCAAACAGCGATATTTGTATATGATTCACTATTTATATTTATGAAACTTCACTCTTGTTTTGCGTCACACATAGCCCATGTATGACATTATAAGCAAAATCCTCATTCCAATTATTCAAGTGCATATACAAGAACACAGCTATTGTGTGCATGTTTAGATACTTAAAATAATCAATTTTAAAAATCAAAATCATAGTTTTATAAAAATGTATTCAAACACTTCAATGATATATCAAAATTAATTATGAATCTATAGCTATGATTTTTTTTTTAAATCCAAATGCTCCTCTGAACATATTTATATGATTGATCATGGTAATTTACTAATGTATTTATTTATTGAGAAAATTAATCATTTAATTCTTATAATTTGACTCATTATAACTTAGTCTTTACAATTTAACTTAATTATAAATCAGTCTCTAAACTTTGTTTATTATAATTTAGTTCCTAAAGTTTTAACTTTTTAAATATTAGTTTCTATATTTTAAAATAAAATTATAAAAATTAAAAATATTTTAAATTTTTAATATTTATAAAAATTAAAAGGGTTTAATAATTTAAAATATTAATAATAAATTTTAAAATATTTTAATCTTTAATTTTACTTTTTTAAAATATAAGAACAAATATTTAGGAGGTTAAAATTTTAAAGACTAAATTATATGAGTCAAAGTTTAGGAATTGATTTACAATTTAGTCAAAACTTCAAAAACTGCATTTTAATGAATCAAAGTTTAGGAACTAAATTATAACTAAGTCAAAATTATAAAAATTAAATGGTTAATTGTTTCTTTATTTTTTAAGATACCGTGCATGAAGTAACATTAAGGAATACCGACTTGATTTGGAGGATGATGATCATTCATTCGTTTATTGCGATGAATTTGTTAAAAGATTTCTCTCATTTTCCTGCCAAATGTGCATGGAGTGGAGATAATATTATATAATTTATAATTTCAAAATCTGTGTTGATACATTCATTAAATAATTTGATGTCCGTGTAATGATGACTAAAGGAGTAAGATGATGCATGTTCCTTGATTTATGAAACAAAAGTAGTTCATGTATGTGTATTTATGAACATGAAGTGTGGCACAGAATATTCAAGCACTTTATCAAATAAATAAAATATACATGTATCTTTTCCTGTTCAATGGATAGATGACTAAATGTTCTTTCTCATGGATAATGAAAAAGTGATATAGACAAAGTCCTTACTAATTAATTAAGTGTAAATAAATAACTTTGTGAAATACGAACAAACCAATAATCGCATACTAATATGGCAATGGCATTTACTGGAATTCTCATCAAAACAATAAAAAGAGAAGTCAATGAAGAAGCACACGTATCTATTATCTTAACAATTCTCTGATCTAATGCTTAAATCTCTTTTAAGCATATGAACTCAACTCACTAGTGCCGTCTGTCTCTCTCACGGTCACCCGTTCCTTCCCGTTCTCTATTTTGCCTGCTGATGGCAAATACCGATAATGCCAAAAAGATTCACACCAGATAAAGTTGTATGTATCGTTTTGTCTCCCACTCTCGATTCTGGCCTTCTGGGTCTCACGCCTTTCCGTCTCACTCTTTCTCTCTTTATCCATATCCTCAAAGAATAACACCTCAATTATTCGATTGCTGGTGTAGCTTCTTCTCTGCTTTTATCTTTTGCTGCAATACTTTAGTAAGTTTCCGAGGCTGAGTGTGGGTGGAGAATGGGGACGGGTACGTCGAAGGGTACGGATGGTGGATCCCATGGCAGCGAAGAAGACCGGGATAACCTTGAGCAAGCGGGTAAACAGCTCTATGTTTCACTTAAGATGGAGAATCGCAAGCTTACAGGGGATCTTGTCCCTCATATCTATGGCTCTGTCCCACTTGTGGGCTCCTGGGATCCTTCAAAAGCTGTAATTTTGCTTTAACCCCATTTTTGAATATGTTTTGCTGAATGCTGAATGTTAATTTGCGGACTACTGATTTGTTTGGTATGATTCCGCCATTCCGGGTCAATCCCATTCCTAATTGTTTTGGTCTCTTTGGTGCCAATATTAGCTTCCTATGGAGCGGGAGTCTGCATCAATGTGGGAGTTGAGTTTTGTTGTTCCTCCAAATCATGGTATGGTTACTTCTTTAACCTCTCTCTCTCTCTCTTCCTCTTGTTTGCTCCGCTTTTAAGTTGTAACCATGTCTCTTGCTTTGTTCATTTTAAAGTTAAATACTCTAGTGCCTTTATCGCTTCCTGTTGTTTCGTCTTCTCAAAATGAGATTCGGACAGTTGCAATATAAGCAAACTCCATAAACAATGCATATTTTCTGAAGCTTTCGGGCTTAACGAAATATAGTTAGCAATTCAAAGTTCTCTAAGCAGAGTCAGATAGTATGATGGCCTGAATTGTTACATAATAATAACTGGTTTCTGTTTTTGCTATTGTCATGTTCATTACGGCTTCATTAATGACTTGTGCCTTTTTGAAACTAACGTCTTAATATTGTTGGGAATATTTCAGAAACTTTAGATTTCAAATTCCTTTTGATGCCTAAGCACAGCAATACGCCTTGTTTTGTTGAGGAGGGTGCAAATCGCCTGCTAATTAGGGGAGCACTGCAGGAGGATGCCCGACAGCCCAGGCTTGCTTTATTCAGGCTTGATGATGATGAAATTCTGGAGTATCAAGTATTTGTTAAAGCAGACTGGGTTTCTCCCTTTGATCTTGCAGCTAGTTGGAGGGCTTATCAGGAGAACTTCCGTCCTTCAGCTGCAAGGGGCATTCCTGATGTCAGCATAAATTCAGTGCCACCATCAGGCAGTGAGGTAAACCTCAATAACTTTGGCACTCTTTTGGCAAGTCACTATATTATCTTTGTTGAAAAAAACAATTTGTGGCAAAAAATTTCCTTTTTTGTTGAACTCTGACACTTATTGACTTGGATCTGGACATGACTCATGGTACTTCGCAGCTTTACTTTTACTTCTGTCTGCTTGTGAGTTAAGCTACCTTGTGTGAACGTGCAGTGACTTGTACAAACTTAAATGGACTCATTTGTACTAATTGCTATACAGGCCACTTTGTATGTGTAATTTAAAGAAATTTTGCTAATTAGGTTTCTGAATTGTCTTTTAGTTAAACTAAATAGTAAGCCTCATGCAAAGCACAAAGTTTAAGATGGGCTGTATTGCTCATGACTTACGAATAATCATCCGTCAAGTTTTATTTTCAAATTTGTTTTAGCACTCACTCTCTCTCTCTCTCTATCTTTTTTGCTAAACTCTCTGTCCTGATATCTCTTTCATCTTAAGCTTCATGTTCCAATCAGAAATCATGTATTATTCCTGTCAACATTTTCACCTGCAATCTAAAAATTGAAATTTTTTTGGCTATGGGCATTATGAGTATGAATGCAATTCATTTCTCCTATTATTATTATTATCATCATTATTATTATTATTTTTGCATAATCTGTTTAGGAGATTTCTCTTTAGTGCCTACAAATTTTAGATTTTAGATTTAGTTATCTATATGAAGGTGTAGTTTGCTCTATAGCAATTTTCTAGTTTGTAAGAGGAACTTTTATTGTGCCTGTAAAATGCTATATCATTGATGGTCGGATGATAAGTCTAGTAAATTACAAGAATCAATTTTGTTACAATTTGTCTCTTGTACGATACCTTATCACCTGACAAGTGTCATGCTTTCATATTTGGCCTTCAATCCCCCCCCAACCTCAATAGTTCTCTCTTATTTCTTTTGCAAAGCTATGGTTAATATATCCAGATTCTAGAAAACCTTGCTAAGGATTTTTTTCTTTATTTTTTTTTTCCTTCAGAGTGGCTCTTCTGTGGGTTTGGAACTTGACCTTGAAAAATATGTTGTCCCAGCTCCCTCAACTTCTGCAGCTTTGTTATATGCAGCTAACATGACCGAGAACCCCAGGTCATTAAGTGGCTGGTCTGGAAGCAGTACATATTCCATCAGCGATGGTGGTGTTACTATCAAGCGACCTGCAACTGTAAAGGTTTACCTTCAAAGTCACATTGAAAATTTATAATTTTACTTCATACAAGGTGAAGAAGTTCTTCACAATGTATTGGGGCAAGGATAATTAATTAATATGAAATCTTACCGGTCTAAAGACAACATATTGTCTTTAATGTAACGTCCTCTGTGTGCTTATTTGCATTTTGCCAGATTTTTCCCAATCTTTTATTTTTGTTTTAATATGACTCTGTTAGTGTATTTATGTTACAGAGTTAGTAGAAAGTAGATTCTAGTCTTCAACATATCAGATCAGACAATTTTTTTGCACCTAAGTGTGACTAGCTTGTGTATGCTGGATTTCATAATGGATTAAGTTGGCTGTTTTTCTTTTCTTTTTTCTCTGTTAATTAATAAGAAGCTTTGATAACCAACAAATACCTGTATGCAAAATATATTTAGAAAATGCTCACTTCTTGAAAGATAAACACTAAAGTATGCTACTGGGTTATATTGACTCTTGATGCTGCTATGTATTACACCTGATAGGTTATGTTGTTCCAACTAGGAGATGGAGGTTATTATCCCAGAGCCATCTAAGGTGTATCAAGGTTCTGGAATGGTTGAATCTAAGATTGTGGGAACATTTTCACCTGTGCAAAAGCAAGAGGGTCAAAGAGGACTTCTTGTTGATAGGGGTGTTGGATCTCCTAGACTTGTAAAATCATCTACTTCTAGTATTTTTGCCACTGAACTTAATTCAGATACTGGAACCAAGGTTTGTATTAATGAATTCTATTTGTTATTTCTTGTTCAAATTTAGTGTCACTGCAATAACTTATCTTGTGCCTGTTGTGGTTGGATTGTTTATAAATATTTGCTTTTCCCCTCTTGATTGTTTTATACATAGAATTCAATTCCAGCAGCTGCTGGAGCTGTTGCAGCTGCAGCTGTGGCCGATCAGATGTTGGGTCCCAAGGAGGATAGGCATTTGGCAATTATTTTGGTAATGTTCTAGGATGAGTGATTATTATGACTCCCAAATTGTAATACTTTTAGTAACATTCATTTCTTTTGTTTTCTCCTT